GGTTTCCATTCTTTAAGGTAATAATTATTTGAATTTTCTTTTAATAAGTCAGTTTATCCTTTTCTGCCATTTCCATCAGTTTTAACAACCCTTCTTGTATTGTTGGTAGTGTCTGGGTTTTCTAAAATTGTGCATAAAGAAGTCTTGCTGCGATAAACATGTATTGAATAATTCTAACAAGATGTTTTCCTATTTGGAAATCCATTATCCCCAACAGGAATAATTCTGGTTTAAATGGAATCTGTATTTGTAGTATGCTCTGCATCAAGGTTTGTATTTGAGTCGATATTGTATTTTCTTGTTAGCCAACTTCTTTTTCTGCTAGAAAGACATTAACTGTAGTCATGTTTTACCATATAAATCCTCCTGAGACTACAGAATATACATTGGCAATAAATGGACAGTGGAAGGTTAAACATTCATCTACTTCTAACTTTAATGAACATTCTAATGATTTGTAATGATGGCCTAGGAATTCACCTCTTACTGCCATCTATCTTAATTATCATTTGTTATTATTGGTGATATTTTAATTTTGGTTATTTTTAATATTCTTGTTAATGAGATATGAGTCATATAGCAACCAGCTGTAATGTAGATGAAAAATGTTTAAACATTTATTTCGATCTACATTACAGCTGGATATTATATGACCTTTTCATTAAGAATTGGTACCTCCCCAGTCTTTTCTTTTGTGTTATGTCTTTTTAGATTTTAAACCTGAGGGCAGGGATTGTCTCATCTCAATGATCTCAAAGTCACAATGAGAGTTTACCTGGCTGAAAAGCAGATGGAAAGATTGGCATAAAAGTATTAATAAATTATATCAGTTCATTAGAAAACCCTTTAGTTTATTCACAAGGGGGTTGATTCCTTGATCACAGAAGGTGCCAGAGAAATCGTCCATGCCGAGAGTCCAAACCATGGCTCCTCCATACTCTTTCCTCTTCAAAAACTCAGTCTGCAAAGAAAAACAAAAGCTCTTGTAAACAGCAAACTTGTAAAAAGACTATAATCCAAGACTACTTTTGGCGTTCTAGGGCAGAATACTATTTCCATAAATATGGAATTGGCTGATAACCAGCATTCATAAAATATATACTACTTATTCTTTAAAATAAAAAAGCAGTTTAAGTCAATGTACTTAACTTAGCATAAGACTTTTTCCAGAATAGTTTATGAAATTATCCAAGTCTATGCTGTCACAGTATAACACAAATTCAAATTAGCATTGCATGCTCTCTGTCATGTTCACTAGATTGCTGTTGTCTGTGCAATACAAGTTAATGTTGGAATATTTCCTCATTAGGCCAATCAATTATTGTATTGTTCTTCTTGTCCCAGTCAGTTACAGTTCTCTCTCCCATTTCATTTGCAGCCCTTCCCACATTTCAGCTGAATACATGCAAATCCTCAGACTTAATAGAAACAACTTGTTAACACTTTGGTTCCTTTTTTCCAAATTCCATCTTATCTGCTTTAAACAGATAAGCCAGTTGAGTGGTAGCTGGGGACCGAACGAACATCTCAGTGAACAAATTGTAAGTAGCGGCTTTTAGAATTAGCTGACTTGAAGGAAATTTATATTAAGTGGGTAATATTAAGGAAAAAAACGTTAAGATTCACCTATTCCTCATGGAGGAGAGAAGCATATTAAGCATCTGAGTAGAGGTATACAATATAGTATGTTCAATCATGAAACTCCTATCCCCAGACAAGTAAATTGGAACAGGCCATTCCAAGTGTTCTGAATGTGGTCCAATTCCAAACAGGCCAACAGAAAGTTTCTTTTTAACATGTTTCCACTACATTTAAAATGCACCACAGCAGTTGGCTATAAAGCACTCCGAATGGCTAACTGAATAATATTATAGTGTATTTCTTGTTGCTAAACCAATAGATTTTGTCTAAAGGAAGAAAAAAAAATTCATTTCTCTTACTACCCAGAATGAAATGAATGAAATAAGCAATTATCTTTCAACCTTTTATAATATATATAAATAATCTAGAAACTTGTAAGTGGCATGCAAATGTACAAATAAATTATCACTTCCGCTACCAGTGTATTCAACAGGTGAGTGCTCCAACTACTGTGGTCAAAACTGGGCCACCAAGAAACAAGAGAGGAGCATGTTTAAGCTGTGCAAAAATACAAAGATGTCTAGATCTGACATAGGGACAGATTAAATAGTTGGCTGGACATTTGACCATGAATACCCCATGCTAAATTTTGCTGTAAAGTTCAGTGGTTCTACTTGTGACTTAATTAGCGCATCTGAGCTACAAAAATCCTGACTATCACTAGATGGCCACAAAGGGTGGCCACAAAATGCCACAAAGGGCATTTGCTGTCATTTTATAGACCTTTAGTAGTTCTCTGGATTTTTGCAACCCAGAGATGGTGGTCCTGCCTTAATGCTCTGACTCTGTTGACAAAAATTTGTCATATTATTCAGTGACATCAGGCTCAGTTATGACTTTATACTGTGTAAGAACATCACAAGATAACTTTGGTAAGCAGATGGAACTTTCCCATTTACATTGTATCTTGAGATTTAGTCATACTTCTTTTGCATTGGCCAAAATTAGATTTAACCCAATAACTACTGCACAAAATGACAACTTACTTTAAACTGAAAACTTCTTTCATCATCATATGCAACCCATTCTCCATTTTTGAAAGCATATGGAACCTTCTGTTCATCAATCCATGCTTTGCTAGCTCCTTGTAAAAATGTACAAACCTGTCAAAATGATCCTTTTAGACAAAGCAGCTCAGGACAGAGAACAAAATAAAGCAAAACTATTTTTTACAATATTTCCCCATTGGGATTAAAGAGTACTGTGGTTTGTGTGCTCAAATTTTCACCTACAGCAGTTTCCCAGAAACAGATCTTTATAGTACAATAGTGGGAAAAAAAGATGGGATAATTGATAGCCAAGAAAATGTTCTGATCATGAGTTTGGAAAAAAATCCCAATTTAAGTAACATTTTTTAATTACAGTACTCAGAATTCCAGAGGTGCAATGTGGTTCTGTAAATGTTTATTCAAATGTAAATTCCACTAAATTGTGTTGTTGCTCTCAATAAACTCGAACAGAATTATATGCTAAGATTTTATTGTTATTGTTAGGTTTTGATGTTTTATTCCCATCTTTCTTCCAAGTATTTTAGAGACACCTTCACAGGATTATTCCTGTTTATTCTTTCAACAAACTCACAATGCAGGTAAGGCTGAGTGAGAATGATTTACCCAAGCCCTTATGACCTCTATACCTTATGATCTCTATACTTGTGGAATGTTCAGACTTAGGTCTACCTTGACAGTAGTATGAAGCTGGCTTCCCACTGCCTTCTTCTGCAAGTTAGTTAGTAAGTTAGTTACTTCCCAGACTAACATATGGCCATGGAATTTCCTGGTAATCTCCTATCCAAGCCTTAACCAGATCCAAACCTTCTTAGCTTCTGGAGATCAGCCAAGGACAGCCAGAAGTTGCCACCTCATTGAGCATATTAAAAGTTTTAATAAAAGAAAGGAAGGGCATTTACCTCATAATATGCCAAGATACCAGAACTGTTGGTGTAGACTCCAGGAGTACCTCCACCAGAGGCTGGAGCACCAACATTAGTATTTGAACTAGAAAGTCTAAAAGAACGCCCATATGTTGGAAATCCCATCATGAGTTTTTCAGCTAGTGCTCCACTGTCATTCCAGTATTTCATTGCATATTCCTGCAGTACAGATACAAACAAATATGGTATACACGCATCTTTCTTTTTGTGTTTCTGTGTATTCTGTCTGTTTTTGCACAACAGCCTGTTCACATACAAAGCAGGGTGGAGGAAGGTCAAGCACAGTATGGTCATTTATTAATCATTTTGGTAGCAAACAATAAAGCAAACCATGATAGATAGATAGATAGATAGATAGATAGATAGATAGATAGATAGATAGATAGATAGATAGATAGATAGATAGATAGATAGATACTCCCATCCTTCAGTATCCAGTTTTGGTGTTTGATGGGAGTGAGACAGAAGGAGAAGCTGTGACTGGAGCAAATGCCTTTGACTATTAAATAATAAAAATGATTGGTTCCAGCCTCCTTTCTCTCTCTCTCTGGGCTGGAAGGGAGAGATAACCACAGACTAACACACTTCTCTTTCTAGGTTCAGATCATCAATCAGACCATGGTTTCAATCAGTAAATTAATGACCAAAAATGGTTTCAAATTATGGTTAAAGTGCTCCTCTTTGCACTTGACACTCAGTGCTTCTTAACTAAACAAGTGGGATAATTCAAATAGATGAATTAACTATAACTTGTGGCCCAGATTCAAGTGATCTGTTAGGCTTACTTACTAGGTGGCTTATCATATGCTACAAATCATGTTACAGCCAGACCCTACTTAATCCTTTCCCTCTCTCAATTACCCAACTCAAGCTGCTTTATGCTTAGAAAGTATAAAAGGATTCCATTTTTTTTTTTGCCTTTTGTCAGTGATACAGCAATTTTAGCTGATGGGTTTTCAAAAAACAACAACAAAACAAAACACTTTCAGCTAGCATCCTGCTTCTTCTGCTGAGACAGTCAATTCAAACTTGTTTTGATTCTGAAATTGACGTACATCAAGTATCTTGAGTTTCATCAGTTAGTCTACATATGTTTGCATTGCCTGATCAAATTCTCACTGTATTCTCAAATTTGCATTGCCTGATCAAATTCTCACTGTAAGTACTGTACAAGTGATCACATATCCAAAAATGTTGCCATTCTTCTTACACAATTGTAGTAGGGAACTGGGTCATAGATTTTTAAACCCTTATGCAGGGGGCTGTTGTGTCCTGTTACTGGAGCCCAACTTCCATGGAAATCATAAGTCATCACATTGATAAAATCGAGATTCCTGAATGCAAATTAAAAATAAAGATCAAGATTAAGGAACAATAAGCAAACAGCCAGCAGCAATGATAACAATAGTTATGTTGGTATATAAACACATTTGCAATGGTAAGTTATGTAGCAGGATGTAGTTAATGGTCTTTAAAAAGTTCTCAGGAATACCCTATACCACTTTTTCCCATTCTGGTCCCTAACAGATAGGATAGATACAACATCTCACCATCCTACAGTCTGTTATCAGATCATGCAGAGCTATTGTTCCAAAACAAAATGACTTCACATTGGACCTCTTCTCTTAGATTGTGCAACCTACTTCCCCAGTGCAGCAACTTCATATCCAGCATCTATGGTATTTTTGCTTGAAGATACAGCTGCTGAAAGCAGGAGCCGTGGGTATCCAGTTTTTTCACTCTCTTCTCTAAAGGCTGCTGATAGTTCCTGCAGAGGGAAACAGAAGCAGCAACAGTTAATATTGCTCAGTTGCAAGAGACCTGGGTATGTTTCAGAGGGAAGCTGCTTGTTTCATATTAGAAATATTTCATATTAGAAAGTTTTCATACTATGTAGCTCAGTATATATAGTTTAGTTAACTGAATCTTCTTTTTATATTGAATACAGGTAATCCCTGAGTTAAGAATGCCCGGGTTACAGATGACCCATAGTTAAGAATGGAGTCTATGGTAGCAAAATTCGAGTTAAATACACAATAATTCAAGTTAATAC